TAAAATACCTACAGTAAAAAAAACATAATGGACGATTTTTTAATAAAATATAAGACTTGTTTAGGAATATTAATAATTTATTTTATGATGAGTTAGATATAAGATAATTATTGATTTAGAAGGTGGAGAAAAGCGATTTGGTATACAACTCCAAGAAGAAAGAAGGAAATTGAAATAATATTAAAGGGAAATATTAAATCTAGTCGTCAAAGATGAAGGTTTGTGGTTATATATACATTTGTGTATTATAATATTATGCACAAGTAGGTATATTTTATGAAATTATAAATTTATATTTTGTTCTTATATTTGTATTTTAATATTAATTATTTTACAATAATAATACGGACTTAAACATGGAAGACATGATATATCATATTATATTGGTGAGGAAATCATACCATGTAACACAAACTGATTAAGCGTATGCATCATAGAAAAATAAGAATGAGATATAAATATATTATAATATTATTATGAGTATGTATAAAAATAATATTATAACAAAACAAAGGTCCTGGGTCCACTCTTCTGCATTAGAAGATAGGGTTTCACCGCTGAAGGAAATTAGTAAGTTGCCCCATTATAACAATAGATGGCATTAATTGCCAATTAAACGACAGCCACGTGTGTACCTATATAGAATAATATAAATTATATCATGCAATAATTTGGTACATATAAATATTGACTGTAAGAAACACACGGTTGGTACCTTTAATTAAGCCTAATTAGGATAAATTAATATTGTATTGTGCCAACGTTACTGTGAAAACACAGGCCCATAATAACTGGGTAGCTCTTCAGCAAGTGACATTAACCCATATTCTATAATATATACCTTTACTTAGCAGACAAAGACCTTTAATCATTTCGATAGCAAGATACTCCCGTGATAGACACATAAATACATATAATATATTATTAGATCTAATGATATACAAATTATATTTCTAATGGTATCTAAGATCAAACGTTACAATAAATCATATGATATTATTATACCTACCATAATATGATATTAAATTATCTTACTTGTTAACTTATAATTCGATGCTGACGTAATCAGTAGAATGGTGTAAATTGTGAATATGTTCTTGCCTTCTTATTATAATTAATATCATAAAATAGTCTCAATATTTAGAAAATATATATTATATACATTTAAATGGGTACATGTTTATCATATATTTCAATATTACGAATCCCAGAAAACATTAATGTGTAATGATGATATTAAAGATATTATTATAATATTTTTATTAAAAAAATTACTTCCTATATAAGAATTTAAGATTATGATTAGCTGGTTTGCGTCTAAGTTTGAAAATTGAAGAAAGCAAACACAGAAAAGCACAGCATAGCCTCAACAGTCATAATATCTCCATCTAGTTTGGCTTCATCTTTTCTATAATATTATAACAGGTAGAAAATCTTCAAAATGCATCGCATAAGCTATTTCCATACTAACATATATTACATACATCACAACTACACTGGTGAATATCATTATGTACGAGGGTCGAGGAGTATTGTATATTGTTGTATAACCCTTCTAAAAAATTGTTGTTGGAGAAAACCCACCCTAATCTGTCGATATTATTCGATATACAATTTTAGCTAGGGCTGAAGTCACTCCTCATAATTTTAATCCTGTTCACAATGGCGTATTTAGGGGAGTACGGTACCTCGTAACGGCAACATGATGCGACGTTAAAAAAGGGAGGAAAATTAATTTTGTTTTTTGTTACCTACGTATACGGAATAGACCAAAAGCCGACCATCCATATAGTTATAAACACTTTATAACACGCTATACTATCACAACTATTATAACTTATAATCCTCGTTACTATACTTACAACCTCACTTGTCGCAAAAACAAGTAAGGTTATAATGAATTCTGGTATAAGAGTATTTTATACAGTTCCTGTCTCCTGACATCTATTGATACAATATTAGTATATTACTCTAAGGTAATACTGTAAAAGGTCTTTATAGGTATATAGGTTTTAGTTCTAATTATATAATATTTGAGTATGGTTTTACCGTGGTAAGGGGTTAGGGTTATTATTTATCAATATAATTATCATTATTTTTATAAATTATGTAATACAGAGGAAACTTGTAATACATAAATACTCATTAGTCATTACTCATTACTGTCATTAGGTACCTCCAAACAGTTAAGCACGATTGTGTTTTTTAATTATTGTTGAATATATTATTGTTATTATTTGACTAGTGGTTTTTATTTAGTAGGTACCTATATTTAATTGTTTAAAAAAAGAGAAAATTTAGTTTATAGTTTTGTTATTTATGGTGACTAATGTGTTATATCATCAAGTATTCTATTTTATTTTTATATCCAATGAAACTGTAAAGGCTAACTCCAATTATGTATAAACAAAAATGGAGCCAATAATTATTTATTATCTACATAAACCCTGATTACATAGCACTCAGTTTTATATTAATGGATATGTGTATTTATAGTATCAAGGACACATTATAAATATCATTGACAATAACAGCAATAGAAATGCTCTAAATTAAAAAATATGACCTAATAATGTTTTACCCTCACATAGAAATTTCATTATGTATATTTCTATTAATTCTTGAATTATTTTGCATAACACACTTTTCAACACTTAAAAATATAAAGAATTATTCTATATCTAAAATGTCATAAGATCATTGTTCAGCATTGAAATTATTCAATTATTGTATATAGAAACTGAAATTACATTAGAATTTAGATCAATCATTAGAATACAAATATGATAACTTGCTTATCATGAATCAAGAACAAATATATTTTTAACCCTCAATATAGAATAATATTGTAATAATAGCAGTGTAATATTTATTCCAGCACCACACACATGTTCATCTTATGAAAAAAAAAATCCACCAGGAAGCAAGAATATGTCAAACATGTGGCTACCATACATCCACCAAACATATATTATATTGTATTCACGGAATAAACATAAGAAGCCAGTAAGAAATATGACATACCGGGACCCCTCCATACGACTCCCTTGGTCCCAACGAAGATACTATACAATTTAAAAAGTGATGTTATTTACTAAACACGATACGTTGACCTATTCAAATTAGTCCTAAGTTTAACTTAGTACAGCATGCGCGGATCCAGAACAGTTTATGGGGGGGCCATCAAAATAGTATTAATAATTTTTCAAATATGTCAAGTTCGACATTCGAAGTATTAACTAATCAAAAATAAAAACTATTGGTTATAAAATATTTAATTACATTACTTTTTCTACATTTAAACTAAATTTTACTATAGTTAATAATTTACGATAAATTCTAATCAAATGTACAACTTAAAATCAGCTTAATTTTCTTATGACTTATGGTTTTCAAATTGCAAATGGAATTTTTCTTTTGCTTTTGGAGAAACGTTCAATTAATTTTTCAACAAATACGTAGTTTGTCGGTGGTACCCAATGATTTATTAAAAGTTCACTCTTCGTATAATCGTCAATATTTTTTTCAATATAATCTCCTATGTCATTAGTATGAAGATGAAAATCATGACTAGAAGATGCTAATCAATGTTCGAATTAAGATCTTTTACTGAATTGTCTGAAATATTTTCTTCAGGTATACTGCTTTCAACTGTGATTTTTTTTGAAATAGGATTGAAAAATGAACTAATTTTTGAAGAAGGACGTTTTTTATCAGTAGTTGAGGCCTACGAAATTAAAGAAAATGTAATAGTTTTAAAATCATCTTATGATGACAATATGAAGTAAAAAATGTCGGTCGTATAAATAAAATATGTAGTAAATTTATTAAAATATTAAAAAGGACGAAATATTACATATTATTTTTTTTATTTCATGTTATTTAAACGACATTTTGAGTATTGTACAAAATATAATGTACAAAATATGGTTTTTAATTCAAATAATCAAATCAGTGGCAGTGTATTAAAATTCAAAATACAGATTACTTACCATTTTTAAATACCCTCGTTTTCTCGCAGTGCGTTGAACGCTGTCCGCATCCCGTAGAAAAATGATAATGTTATATAATATTCAATATTGTAGCAATAGAATTAATGGTAAAAGTAATATCTGCGATTCTGACGATAACGTGAACGGTCACGGCATCGTTAGCCTACGCCACGCCGGTCGCCGACACAATTAGAAATTACAGAAAAATTCTATAAATAGAATTGTCCGAAAACCAATATCAATTTTACGAAACATTATAATCTAATATAGAAATATTTAATAAGAATAATTCGATCTATTCTATTATCAATGTTATTATTTTTTTCCCCGGCCTCATCTTTTTTTTTTTAGATTTGGGGGGGGCCATTGCTCCCATGGCCCCCCCCTTGTATCCGCGCCTGCTTAAGTAGGTAATAATCATAAAAAAATGTTAAAATTACAAATATATCTACCAGACAATTTATAGTACAGCTACCGAGGATTTAAGACTAGTAAAAAAAAATTTATATATCATATGCATTAAAAAAAAAAACATATTTATAACAGTAAATAATAATATTGTTTTGTCTTGTGGTACCAACCCACCAAATTCTTAAATACGCTACTGCCTAGTGAACCAACCAAAACAACAACAACGATAACCCTAACGAAAATTACCTCCTAATTAACATATATAGTATTTAAAACAATAATATTTTAGTGTCATATCGGCCGTCATTGTTGCTCGTAACGACGGTGTTATATTATAATTTATAATATAATATTTTAATGTCGTAAGCTTATTCCACGCCGTAGATAATAACGCAATTTGCAATTCAAATTTCGGTGGGTGTCGCTAAGCCACCAGACTGCAGTGACCTAAAGCACCGCAATCTTAATCACACCGTCGGTCAAAGGTCGGTTTTCGAGTCCTACGACCGTCGCTGTTTTTTCATTTTTCAACGACAAGTACCGGTAACTACAGCGGCGACAGTAACAACAACAACAACAACAACGAAATCGTATGCGATGGTGTCTTTGTGCTGGCTGTGGTGGTTGATCAACGCGGTCGTGTGTTGCGTGGGCACGGCGATCGTCGTCCGCCGGTTACTAGTACCGTGGTCCTACTGGTTGGGCCGACGGGCCCTGTGCTGGTGCCGGTACGCTCTGTCCCGTGGCCACGCAGACATCGGGCCCAGACAACAGCGTGCCCCGCCCGCTTGTCGGTGCTGCGGTGGCTTGAACTTTGACGGCATGGCTGGTAGCTGGGCGGGTAAGCCATGATCAACGTGTTTGCTAAAACCTAATAACATAACCGTGGTTGTCAAAAGACATTTTTTGGCGGAATTCAAAATTTATAAAGATATTATTGTGTGGGTGGGTCGTTTTTTCACCATAATCGTGATACCGCGTTTACCTCCACTGTTCATTATTCTCAAAAGAAAAATGAAATATATTGGTATATATAGGTACTTTTCATTTTTCCCACACATTTGTTTTCATGCGTCCATTTTCTTCCAAATATTAAAAACATATTAGTTACCTATATCAAAATTATTTATTAAATTTGGTAAATGTACTACTTTTAATCACTGCAATAATGTTGAACTTTAATTTACTTCGTATTCGATGTTTACCTGTACATACAAATATATAGAACAATATTATTTACCAGGCATCGATAGGATAGGTCATTGGTACCTACATATTCAAATTATTTACCAACAGAAAATGTAATGTTTTAACTGCAGTTAATGGGAAAATAATGGACAGCGGAGAATAATGGTCTAAATATTTTGTGGATATATAATATTTTGTTGATGATAGTTCTAAAGTTTCTAATACCACATTACCACAAAGTCATATATTCAGACATACAGTCTAAATAATGTCGTAATTTGTGTTTTCGGTTCGTCGGGTGATACGTCTGTCTGACTCATGATGTACGTGTCTCGTTTGGCCAAAAACTGTTCAAAACTAATCCGACGGAAATCCTTCCGACACTTTAGTGGTGACTGGTTGCACCGACGGGATCGGCAAAGAGTACGCGATGCAGGTAAATAACCACGTCTGAATAATATAGCAACCGAATAAATAACTATTTTAAATATTATGTTTTTTTCATTACGTTTGTTGGACGCACAACTAACTAGTTGGCCGACCGTGGAATGAATGTTGCACTGGTCAGTAGAAACTTACACAAGTTGCTAGACGTAGCGCAGCAGATCGGTACGTAGGTATACCTAGTAAATTAATATTAGATTATATTATTATTATTGAACTCTGTATACAATTCTATAGATCTATAAGTTCAAACTTTAACAATTTATTAGTTTAAATATTAAATTCTGAGAGTATAGCGATGGATGTATTGATTTTACAATGATGTGTGTTTATTTTTGTTCGAGGTGACACTTTTTCTAGTAGAAAATTCGCTGATCAAAGTGATCACCAACTTTGATGGAGGTTTTTTCTATAAATTACAATAAAAATTATTCGTTCTGCTAAAAGCATAAAAAATGTAATGCAGAGTTCCTCATAAGTTGTTATTTAACTATCTAAAAATATTAAAGATGCATAAACGCGATTTTTTTTTTTATAAGCATTTAAAGTTCAAACTTTAACAAAATTCGTCAAAATCAAGAAGATTTCCAAATTATCTTGTAGTTAATAATTTATAAAATGTTCAATTTTTGTAACTAACAATATAAAACCTAGTAAAATTAGTACAATATAAATAATAAATTTAATTAACTATTCTCGTGATTTACTGTACAATTAGACATTTCAAATGTCAAAACCATTGAAAACTGAATTTTTCCGAGTTAAAATTAAATAGATATATATTCATATTAGATAATAATACCCGCATTATACATATATTTTTTTTCAATTCGCAATAGGTAGGTAGGTACTTAATAACTCGAAACTGTAACGCGTTATTCTATAGAAATTACTTTTCAAAAGTAATTTCCACTACATTTTCGTTACATGGAAATAATTCTAATGAAATTACAAGCAAAGTAACGCGTTACGTTACTACCCAACACTGCTTATAATATAAAACAAAATATCAGATTATATCAACCAAGTAGATACAAAACAATGAATAAATAACTAACTTCTAAATAAGAAGAGGTATGCAACAGTATAACACAATAAGTAATACATATTAGAATCATAACACAAAATAGATAGATTTTAGAACTAATTTTCGTGCGATACTATAGCAAAGTTGTAGCATCCGTAGCCTGTGTTACCTATTAAACGTGTCACATATTATTATATAAATTATAAATTAATATATTATATTATTAGAGAGTTATGACCGTATTATCAAAAATATTTTACCGATTATGATAACTTAACTGAAACAATTATATTATTTTATAAATAAAATGTATTACATATTTACATATGTATAAAAAATTAAAAATAATATTTTAACTATTAGTAATAGTGAGATAGATATGATAGGTACCTATAATTATGATAATACATGTCATTCATCTTTGTCGATGAATGATGATGGTTGTTGGTTGTGTAGGTTGCCGCCCCAATGACACCCTAAAAATACATTTCTCACCCCCTGAATACGTCCCCTCTGCTGTGTGGACGTGTGCTTTCGGTATTATATATTTTATTCTATTCGCGTGAAATGCAGACGCACGGCACGCGGGTCGAGTGAAAACTAAGATCATCGTAGCGGACTTCACGTCGTCCGGCGGCACCGTCCCTCTGTCGGGGACTTATGAAGCGGTGCGCCGTGGACTCGGCCGCTTGGACGTGCGGCTGCTGGTTAACAACGCGGGCGTGGGTTACGCGCGACCGGAACGGCTGCTTGATCTGGCGCCCTGCTGTACGGGAAAGTTACCCGATCCGTGCCGAGACGTGGTCGAGTGCAACGCGCTGGCCACCGTGGCCATGTGCCGCATAGTCATGCCACTGATGGTCGTCGACGATACGGACAGCGACGACAGCCGCGGCGGCGATGATGCGGAAGCAGACTTCCGGCAGCAATTGGATGACACGGAATACACGTCTCCTAAACGCGGAGGCGGAGGCGTCGTCATAAACGTGTCGTCAGCATCGGCTAAGCTGCCGTGTCCGCTGCTCAGCGTTTACGCTGCCACAAAGGTACAATGATTTATTATAAAATAAACTGTTAAGTTTATTATGCAAAGTCGCATAAGCAAATTGATTCAATGAACGGTGCAGTAAAATTTAACGAACCAAACGTGGGCCAATAAGTCACATTAGCGATTAGTTCACTTTACGACACTAGTACAGTAGTACACTACATTAATAAACTTGCGAAATAATTTTATTGTACTACAAATAATTGTCGTATACGTATTTTTCACAAAAAACATCCTATATAAATCCTATATCCTTCAGCAAATGTATTACATACGTATGGATAATAGTCTTTAATCAATTTTTTATTTAATTGAATTTAATTTCTCATACATATGAATTCTGGGCCCCTATGAGAAAACTCGTGGGGGGCCCTTATATGATATTATCATATACGTATATTATCAACCCCATAGAGTTTTTGAACAGCTTTAATATTATAGGTACTTACGTCTAATGTTGTATTATTTATTTTAAAACCAAAGCAAACCCACTCCCTAGTAAGATTATTATCTGCTAGATAGTAGCACATAATTCGTATTTTGGCGTTACTTATATTGCTTAATAATAAATTTCAGTGCTAGAATATTATAGTCTATACGTTTCACAGCATCATATAGTTTTGTTATTCAATCTGTATTATTCACAATGTACATACATTATTCTTATTATAGTATATTATTATACATAATATTATCTTGCCTATTCAAAAAGCTTGTAAATGTACATTTAAATCATTTTGAACAAGACGAACTTACCTGTTTTTCACTATCAAAATGAACTCTCATAGGTACCTTGCTAATATGTCTACACACGACATTTACACAATACACAGCATTATTAGGTGAAACTTAACATTTTTTTCAGTATATCGGATATGTCATGGTATATATGCATAATGCATTTATTATTTACACTTGTGTTTTTTTCATAAAAAATCGTATTCTACGAGAAAAAACCCAAAAGGTCTTGAATGTCTTGTCACTCTGAACACGATATATATAACAAACTTGTCTATGTTTTATTATATTTTCACGATTCAAACAATTAAAATATATATAATGATTATTTTTGCCTGTTGGCAAGTCGTGTACACACTTGGTGACTGGAGTGTGTTTGTAATGTACTATGTAGGTACCAATATAGCTCCAGGTAGTCGTCTTAGTTCTTTCCATGCTAAAACGTTTATACGCGTCAACGCGATAACAACTATAGGTAAGTCATAACTATATGACACATGACCACCGCAATATTTTGAAAATTGATTGACGTACCTATTCCCTGATAGTACCGACATTTTTTAGAGCTCCGCCAAATTTTTTAGTACCCCCAAACCCGATTACCAGACCGGTATCGGATAGGGTATCTATACCATATAATAGTATACAAAAATGATTGTCGTCAAGCACTGCGTCTTATACTCTTATCTGTTTGCACACAGGCGTTTATCGAAAAGTTTTCGGTGGAGCTGGCGGCCGAGTACGGCGAAGAGAGGGAGAATCATCAGATCGCGGTCCGGTGCTTGACGCCAGGGTTCGTGGCCACCAAGATGAGCAGGATCCGACCGACGTCCACCGGCGACACGGGCTGGACTTACGCTCCGGTACCGAGGTCGTACGCCAACCACTCGCTCCGGTCGTTGGATTGCCACTGCTTTTGCGGCCTGAAAGGGCGAGAGCGAGCGCGGGCGGACCGAAACAGCGAAGGCGAAGATGGTAAGGCCGACGAACCAAGATGGTTAGCGAGAGTGGTCAGCGCAGTCTTCGACTCGCCGTCGTCGCCGCTGTCGGCCGGACACTCCGGCGTCACGACCACTGGTTACCCGTCGCACACGATCATGGTAAAGTATAATAACGATATAAATATGTTGCGTCTTGGGTAGTAGATGATAGGGTTCGGGAATTTTTTTAATGGTAGGTACCTATATAAAATATAATTTAATTATGTGAAATGGTAAAATTGAATACAAATTAAATATCCAATGTCTAACTTCGAACGTTCATAAAAATGTAAGTTTGAGTTATTTTTTGTTAACTGAATGTAAGAAAACTTATGGGGAATCATGTATTATATTTTCTGGTTTTTTGATCGATTGAAAAAGTCTTGATTGACATTAATTTAAAAAAAAAAAATCCAACATTTTCTTATGTCTCTAAATATTTTTAAAATTATATGGTGTATATAGGTAGAAAATGAAAATTTAAAAATTCTGTGAACATTTCATGTTGTTACTTGTTATAGCTACACTTATTTTTTTTAGAGTTACTTACACTAACAATTAAATCGGTTTTTTCGAAAATTATTTTTTTCAAAACTACTGTGAAATTTAACTCTTGACCCCATACATTACAATCTTACCAAAAAAGATGCTGAAGCAGAAAATCGAGCCATTTTACTTCTCCGAAAGGTGATGACCGACACAAATAAAGAAAAAAAACACACACACATAATTTTAAAATCAACAGATCCATCGCTCTGCTCAGAATCTAAAAGCTCTATGGACCTCAAAATTGTCACTGACGGTTGTAAGTAAAACAATTATTATGAAAAATGAAAATTCTATCAGACATTCAAAAGGCAATAACACGCTAACATCGTTCGGAGAGTTTCACAGATTTACTCGTCAATATTCTATATTATACAGGGTGTATCTTATGTCATTGTACGCTAGGTTTTTTAGCGATTATGGATCGATGACATAGATTTTCGTTAAAAGACATAACACGTGTTTCTTTATTTTTAACAGGCAATTTTTTTAGAAAAATTTCAAAATTTTTAAACACCCAGGTGTACCAATAGCAAAATTAACTTTATTTTTCCAAATGGTAACTGCTGTATTTTTTTAATGGATTAAGGTAATGCTTTTTTTACTGAAAATGTTGATAGTCAAATCATCAATTTTTGTTCTCTAGTTTATTAACTATGATACTCTAAAATTTAGTAAATAAGCATTAATACTTTTAATTGAAATAATTGGTATAAGTTTAATTTACAAGAGCTAAATAATTTTTTCTTATAACTAACTTTTATAACTTGAAATTTGAACCATAAGTTCCCTATATTGGTAGGTATCGCATGCAAAGTATGAATTTAGCAGTTGAAAAATTGCTTGTTAAAAATAAAGGAACAAGTCTTCTTTCGTTTTAACGAAATTCTATCGATCCATAATCGTTAAAAAAATTCCGGGTACAATGACATCAGATACGTCCTGTATATTATGTATGCGCATATTCATTAAAAAACATCAATTTTGTTTTCGGTAAAATTATACAACGAAATATGTGCGCATTCGCCTTCAGGTCGAATTAAATTAAATTTTCAACAATGATTTTAAATATAGTGGTTTCTTCTCAAATTTAAAATTATAAAAATATAGTTAATAGTATTGATTACGTCAATAAAATGACAGTGACTAAGTACGCAATTAACCAAAAATAATCATCGGGTAAAATTTAAAATACATTCATCGTTCCACTCAGAATCTAAAAAAAATCGATAAACACGAAAGGTCCGTTTCTTACTTTTGATAACTAACCAACCTAACCGCAACCCGACAATATTATGATACCGACGCTATATACCCGTATATACCTTATACCAGAGAGTATACAAGGTGTCGAGGTATACAACTGTAACACAATGATATAATATTATAGCTGATGGCGGTGAACGTAATCCGTTGGGTATTCGGAGATCAATATTTGGCTAGCGCCGCTGGCCGGATGATGTGCGGTATGCGGAACCGGATGGCAGCCAAGATGCAAAAACAAACGTCTAGCGCCGAGTTCGAGACCCAAAACCACGAGTTTGGTAGTAGTCACAACTAGTTGCTTTCAACCACTGGTCGGCTAACTGTATGCGGTGGATATTAATATGCACTGTCCGAGTACCTAAATCTGCCCGACATCGAACATAATAATACAAAATTACGTTTTTAAAGGCTATTTCAAGAGGGTTATGAAAACATTATATTTCCGGGGAGCCCGGAACCTAGACCACCCCACAAAATACGGGGCCCTCAATTATCGATGAATAAATAGTAATGTATAATATTTGTGTGTATCGTTGAAGTATTTATTTATTTATTAGTTTTTTGTACAATGGTTAATGGTTATTATACTTATTACATTGTTTTCATATTGTATATAAACGCGCTATAGACTAATATATAGGCAGAAGCTTACATTCTATGAACAACGATTTGACAATATTTTTTTGTATATGGAGCAACGATTCGACGCAGAAAAATATTGCGTTGACTTTGTGTTTAATAATATTTTATATCCCTATTACCTATAACCTGTGGGAATGCAATCCCGGAATAAAATCATAAAAAATAGTTTAAAGTTCTATATTTTATAATTTTAACGGGTTATGGTTGATATACACTATATTTATTTATGGTAATCAAATGTTCGTATACATTTCAGTCAAATAGATATAGGTAATATAGTAACTATAGATAACCATAATAATTGCCACCCTTCTTTATGCAGAATCCCTCTTAGAAATACAAATAAATACAAATAAATAAATTATTAGGTGTGTATAAACGTGTAGGTCTTATAAAAGAATAATAATTTATTTTTTTTTTACACATATTCTATAAAAATTGCATTTTATCCTATAACAACGGATAAAATACAGGCCCCTGACCTGAATATTATAGTCTAAATTACATACAAAAACAGTCGAACAAAAAAAAATAAAATGTGTCACTTGTACGAGTGTATTTTAATTTGAAAGCAATAAAAATAATTATTTGATTTACAAACGATTCCAATATTTTTCCAATTTTCTCGTTCAATTATACTGGGATCTGGGAATACTTAAAAAAATATAGAGTTCATACAATTCATTCAATGGCAAAATTGTAAAATGCAATATTGTGAAGTCTTAAAGTTCCGCATAAGTAATAATAATGTATATTTTAAAAAGCTCAAAGAACCTCCAATGGGAGTTTTCTTAGGTTTCTTCTTTCTGTAAACCATGTCTATAGATTTTGCAAAACAATTTCAAATTCAAAAATATATTTTTATATTACTCACATAAATACATAATATTATTAATGTAAAGTACAGAATCATATAGGTGAAACAATAATTAGGGGAGGCTGAAAAGATAATAAAATATAACAATTGTTAGTTATTATATATTTATAGGTACAGAAAACATATAACGTAAAACTTTGGTTTTTTTTAATGAGTTACAATATATTATTATGTGTTGTATAGATGTGTAACTTTGCTTCGAGGTGGATAGTATTTTTTTTTCGGGTTTTCTACGTATTTTTATAATTTATTTCTAAAAAAAAATATCAGGCGATCGCCGTTCACGAGAGCAGTTTATAAAAAAAACGAAGCATATTACATTTTTTTTCAGTCAATATTTTGATCACTTTTACTATGGATAAAATCTTTCAAACACTTTTTTTAAGGACACCATTCGTTAGGAAAATATAAAAATTATTTTTCAATCGTTTTTAGGTCAAGTTGGAAAACTTTGCCACAACTTCCCAATTTCTGTCAATGATGTATAGATAAAAAAAATATTATGCGAAAACTACTTTGGGAGTCTGTTGTCACACGCTAGCCAAACACACAATGTTTGTATATAATATTTTCACAATCGTTTGTAATATTAACATATTTGAAGTACAAGACGTCCTGACGACCGACAAACGTCTGTTACTTTGTAGTTTGTTAGTACCATCGTCGCGTAGTGTAAATATTATATTTTGATGCTCACCGGATTTATTGTGTAGCGCAAAGTCGCGGGCACACATTCGACGATTTTGACTGTCGGCGAAGGCTCGTGCTTTGACAGCGGAGAAAGATTGGGAGAGAAATGTACTACTATTATTATTATATTTTATAAACGAGATGAGAGTTATGCGAAGAGGAGGACGATAAAACGAGTATTGCATGCGAACGTGCGTAGGTATAAGAGGGGAACATTTACAATTCGAATGAGGCCCAACCGTCGACGGTGTAATGTAATCGAAGAACCGTAGTCGTATTGCTTACGATAAAAAATAATTTCAAACCGCCTGAATACGTTAGGTTAGGTTGCACGAAATCCCATTGAAATCAAAAATTGTTGCACAGGATATATTATTATAATTATATCATAATCATTAATAAACTAAATAAATATTAATTATTAAATATACCTCCAAATAATCAAACTGTATATTCATAAATTAACATTACTCAAATTATGAAAATTATTTAATTATACGATGATCAATATATTTTATACTGTATAAAATAAATTATTTATTATTTTATATTACCAATGCAATTTTATGGAATATCGTAGTTTATTTATTAAAATATTTGATTTAAACCAAAAAGTTATTCAATATAAAAACAACAAGATTCGTTATAACTCAATACATGCCTTGCAATAAAATAAACTTAGTAACTACAAGACGAGCTGGTTTGTATCCATCATAAATGTTTGACGGTGATAGATAAGTTTTTTTTTACATTTAGAAACTTGTTGAGAAAATCGAAAAGTCTCGAATTCCCAATCGTTTAGGTATATGCTCCGAGAAACTTTAAGTCTTTAGAACTCCTTCTGCCATCTATTCGAAAAAATGTTCACAATAAGATAGTAATAATAATATTATAAAGTTTGTTGACTGATATTTTGTGTAGGTAAAATAAACTTGGTACGAAATAAGAAATCCTGACAAAATATAAATACTTATTAAAATCTATAGCTTTAATGACATACTATAGATATGCAATACATTAAATCATTAAGAATACAGACACAATTGACAAATTTTAATTTTTTCAAAATTCATATTTACATTTTACACTGTATATTATATTTATATCATTCGAAGTTTAAATGTTTAGTAGAGCCAGAATGAGAATCTGGAAAAAAGAAAGAGAATCTGTATCCGGGCGTAATACTATACCTTTCATAATATAAATTATAATATAGTTTAGTAGGTACATAAAGAAATTATTTATAATATTTAAAACCTACTATTATACTGTTTTCAATACAATCATAAATCATTCTGAATAGTATCGTGTACTACTATCGTAAATGGCACAACTTATGATGGTATAGTTCAATAGTTGTGCGTGTCTTGTTATTTGAAGCTTGCTATATTGCTATATTATGATATACAATACTACAATATAGTACAATTCATACATTTTAGACAAGACTTGACTTTAAAATTTCTACTGTATAGAAAATTCAAAAATTTGGGTCAACATTTTAGGGCAACAATTAATAATATACCTAAAATATACCAGCTACCTCCTATTGGTTGTTCATTTAATGAAGTTTGACAATATTATTATATTTCTTCATTATTATTTAATTAATTTTGATAAAAACGTTCAATATGACTCACGATAATTTGAATTGTAATATAAGGTTTTACCTACTTACGTAATACGCGTATATAAAATTAAGTTACAAGTTCCAGCAATAATTGAAAGAAGATTTAATTGATCTTGACATTTGCTATGCATAACCTTTATGATATATAAATATCAAATATGAATTAGGTATAGTGAAATCAATTAACTTTATGAATCATAATAATTAATAATCATGATTAAGTTTTAAGTTTAAGCTTAATTTGTAAGTTTACATATCTGACACAAGCATACTTTACAGGAAATTGATAATACAAATGTATAATTGTATTGTATATATTTTGATAAATAGAAATAAAAATAATAATGTTGGTTATTACTTTTTACCTAGGTACACTATTTTTTTTTTGGATTGGTATGCTTACTTAAAATTGTATTAAAGTAATTTCATGTTTTTTTCATACATAGGACAAAGGAGTACAACAAAACTTTGATAACAAAATATTACAACATAGAAAGATAGACACAGAAGGCACTTAAAATGAAATGAAATAAGTAGTTTGTAGTTAGTTATAAAAGTTCTCTGTACTTATTTAGTTTTCAAAGTATTTCTCAAATATCAAAATACTACTGAAAAACTATGACCTCGCGTGATTTACAGACGATTCCCGACAGCAAAGAAAACTTTTTGAACTATTTCACAACAATAAAAATAAAACGTCCTATAGTAGGTACAGTAGGTACAGTGCCTTCAGTAAGAATATAAAAATTTTTTATCATAAAATAATTTTTAATTTTTTGTAATTTGACCAATTTTGTCAAATTGTTAACTTTAAACGATCATAAAAATACAAAAATGTAATATTAAGATAATACACTTTAATGCTCATATAAGCCCCAATGAACTTAAAAAAAAAATTTCAAAATTGTCAAGGAAATTAGTTTTGTTTTATATGCCAAATCTAAAATTTTAAATAATATTATAAAACTAGTGAACACTATTCACTAACATTAAAATATACATAAATAAAAAAATCTATATCCCTCCCCCCTTTAGAACATTTAAATCCATTAACTATAATATCTAACAATCAAATTTGGTATGTTCTACCTTGTACCTATACTGGCATAAATGTATAATAGTATAACACTTGTTTTTAAATTTAAAATCCATCTAACCCAATGCCTGCACCTTATAATCAGACGATAACATATTATACTATCGTTCGCTTAAAGTTATACAAAATACTTTTTGAATTTTCATTGTATAGGTATAGACAGTGATAGTATAACTACAAAATATAATAAAATTTCAAGAATGTATGGTACCTAAGTAGTAACATTGTGTATATATTATACTCAATGGTAGTATAGATGCCTAGTATTAGTAATATTAAAGTATGCAATTAATATTTTTGAACTTATTTTAATGCTTATATTTCTGAAGCCCTAAATTAACTTTTCACTTAAATTGATAA